AATAATCGAGTAAAGAAGTAATAATACTCGAATATTAAATGGTAGTGATAATAATATCTGCTCGACAATCATGTGATAATATCTGCGAATAGATAATAAAGAAATAATGATGATCGATTAATCGGTAATAACAATACCTGAGTAACGGCTCTAACAAAAATTCTAGGCTCAACAAAGGATAGGTAAACCGACCATCGTAACGTCCCGCTCGGGCCGTTGACTGAGTGGCTTTGGGGCGGCGGGGGGACGCAGCCAGGTCATGCAAACACGTGTACGTAGCACGTGCTCGAGCATCACACCATAGTACTATCAACCGTCGAGGCATTGGGAATTGCCGCGTTATTTTCTACATTATTCCGCGCCGATTTTTAATACCGTGTTTCGTCTTCGCGATTGAGACGACAATTAAGACAAATTAAGACGTGTACTCCTCACGAGAGCAGATGTTGCGAGCTTTACCGCGACAGATAATTAACGCGTTTTATTTACGTTTTTATTTGTTAGATAAAGAAACGTCGCGATCGAGTTTCTCAATGCCGATCAAATATTATCATTATCCATTTAATATTCCAGTATTATTACTTCTTTATTCGATTATTATTTAATTTTACGATTTCTTCGTATTTGTTCAGTTATTATCGTCGTTGCAATAAGCAGTTGCGTGGGCTCTGAGGAAAAAAAAATATATATATTTATTTACACACACACACACACACACACACACACACACACATACACTGAATATTCGGGCGTTGTGAAAAGTGCGATAAAAATACGGTGCTATCTCGAAAAATATCTGTAAACTAATTTTTCGCTCTACTTTATCATAGTTGTCGAAAAACTTAGCCGCATGTAATCATAATCTTTTTTGCAAACTTTTCGTATCTTTTTTAACATCGAAACTAAATTTTGAAAGTGTAGTAGTGATCTTTGAAATTTTCCTGGTTGGAGCATCCACAGTTTCGGTATGTATAACCTGCAGAATATTTGTATTAAACAAATATTGCTTTAACTGACAGTTCAAAATTTAAATTTAAACATATTTTTTTCATTTTCATCACATATTGAGCAATGCTCCAATTAATTTTTGCATGCACTTTTGTTGTGTAAAAGCATTTGTAATTCTGTGCAAGCAACAAGACGTAAACTTTGCAAAAAAAAGTCAATGTTATGTCGATAAAGTTTTCATGTCCGGTATCCCTTTAAGGCGATTTTAAATATAACATCTGACTATAAACACTGTCCTTAATGCTGCTTTGAACGAGATAAGTGATTTAGCTCATTTTGGCTTTCAAAAATAAATACACTTGAAAAAATCTTAGACATTCTTAGCTAGGCAGACTAACAGCAGACGTTCCTAAAAATTATGAATAATCTTCAAAGTCACACACTTCCAGATGGGGGAAATCGCGGCACGCTTGACAAATGTTTACAGCGCGCGCCCTTTGAGAATCGCGGATGAGGTTTCCGATGAATGTGACAACATTAGATCGATCCGCGTGTGAGTTTGAGGGTCAGTGATCCGAAGAAAACAACGGAGACGTTATGCACATAACACCTCCATTGACTCTCGAGTTCCGCTCGCTTCCGTTCGCCGTGACGGACCCTCTGCCAGTGGTTAGCCTCTGTCATGTTACCGCGAAATGCTATTAAGCTACCGTTATCTGGTAATACGGCCCGCTATGGTTAGCGTATAATGGCGCGAGCGTCACAAAGCGCGCATTATCGCGCGCGCAGCGCGATTCGACGCGCCAGCTAAATGCGAATTGCCAATTAGCGGTCGTCAGTAAATAAGAGTCCGGGCGCGCCGTAAAGGTGTCTTTCGCGATATTGTTCTCTCTCTCTCTTTCACTCTCTCTCTTTTTTCTCTCTCTTTCTCTCTCTCTCTCTCTCTTTTTCACTTGTGCACGCGGCAACGACAAGCCGCGGGGTAGAATGTGTTTTCTCCTAGGTGCACGGCTGATTTTCACACACGCAAATGAATATTCAAGCAAATATTACTTGTTTCGAGTTTTTCATCAGTTTATATGTTCGAAAATCTATCATAAATACATCACATAAGCATCAAGTTTATTTAAAATCACTCTGAATCTCCTAATATGTTTAGTATTTCAATCAAGAATATTGAATTAAAGCGGAAATTCGGCTTGCTTGTTACATAGAGTTGAACCAACTTTTTCTTCGATCAAGTTTGGTAATATTCTTGTAACGAGAATGAATTTTTTTGAACACAATGATAAAACAAAATGAGCATTTATAAAATTTATGATGAGAATACTGTCGTCAAGAAAATATTCTTTGCTGAGAATCATCATCGCTTAAAAGGAGGAAAGTAAATCGAGTAATCGTTTCTCTTAGCGCAGAGAAGATTTTATTTCTTCTTAATCCTTTTCATCTTAAGTCATATATATCCTAAGGTAGTTCGAATAAGTTCAAATATTTATTTTGTGTTAATTTATTTTGTCTGACTCACTTTTTTATATATAACAGCACATACATGTTTGAAATTGCTCAGAAGAGCAAGTGATGTCGAAAGGGTTAATTTCTTGTACGTTTTGTTTTTGACGTTTCCTTAAGCGAGACGATAGTTCGATTTTCCTGATGGGTATGATGAAAAAAGTTTCTTTGAGTCTTAGTTAGGCAGTTTAACGGGAAACGTCGTCAGAAATCATACGAGTAATTCTCGACGTCAGCTTCAGGTGGAATAAATTATGAATGACAGTTTGTACCGTTCCTAGCGATGTGACGGTCTCGACGAGCGTTCGCGAATGGCTGCGCTCGCCGGCTTTCGACGCGCGACAATGGGAGGACGAGGAGCTGCTGTTGATGCTGCAGACGATGTTCGTCGAGTTAGACCTACCTGAAAAGTTCAACATTCCCTTGCCGATTCTGAGGAATTTCCTCTATGAGGTCTACAATAATTACAACGAGGTGCCGTTTCACAATTTCAGGCACTGCTTCTGCGTCGCGCAAATGGTGAATACCGTCGTCTTTACATTACCTCCCAATTCCATAATTCTTTGAAAAAAATCCTAATTGGGAAGCATGATGATACCAGTGCAACAAACATTAATAAATTGAATAAAACGCGAGCACTAATATTATTTTATTAGCTATTAGTGCTGTAACTTTGACTATTAATGATAATATAATTGCATTATAATTACGATTAACACTAATAATATCGATTAACTGTATCTATGATATATAATTAATAATATCGATACCAATTACACTTTATGATAGTTGACAATATCGCGATTATAATTATATAATGAGCATGAATAAAGAAAGAGCATGCAATTATTAATATAACCATTGAGAAAAAAGTCTTCTTCTATAATCGCATGTTGAAAGATTTATAATCAAGAGAACCATTTTCTGTAGTAAGTATTACCATGGTATTAGTGACAATAATCTTATGTTGTTATCATTGATCTTTTTGTTGGATCAACAAAAAATATAGTTGGCGCCGGAAATGACTATAATTTCAGTGACATTAGCCAGTTTTCTCTCTCAATGAATAGCACTATATAATAATATTGATGTAATGCACTGTATCGTTCTACACGTTATATTAAGCCGGCTCCAACGACGAAGTATTTTGCGATTTCGACTAGAACATGCATGACCGTATATCTCTGTTCGCTATAGACCGAATCGCGTTAATTCCTCAATTAATAATGAATCAATCGTACCTAGATGTATGCGATAGCCTGGGCGGTGGATCTGCCGTCGAAAGTGGGCGATCTCGAGGTCCTCATACTGATTGTCTCCTGCATCTGCCACGACCTCGATCATCCGGGCTACAATAACATCTATCAGATAAATGCGCGGACCGAGCTGGCGTTGCGCTACAACGATATCTCGCCCTTGGAGAATCACCATTGCTCCGTGGCGTTCCGGGTGTTGGAAGCGCCCGAGTGCAACATCCTCGCATCCTTGGACAATCCCACGTACAGAATAGTGCGCGAGGGGATCATCCGGTGCATCCTGGCCACCGACATGGCCCGGCACAACGAGATCCTCGCCCAGTTCACTGACATCGTCCCAGAATTCGATTACACCAGCAAGGCTCACATAAATCTGGTAATATACTGATTATCAACCTGACAGATCGTAGTGTAGTACCTTTGAAACATGAGTTTCCAACTTCTTTACGCTTTTCACGCCTTCGTTCTGTTCGCCACCTACCTTCCTTCAAACGGCTTTGGTGCTATTCAGGTCGCGACATTCAGTGGGGTTGATTTGATGATGAAAGCGAGGTGATATAATCGTCTTTTGTAGTTGTCCATGATCCTGATTAAAGTAGCTGACATAAGTAACGAGGCTCGTCCGATGGAAGTGGCGGAACCGTGGCTGGACAGGTTGCTGCAGGAGTTCTTCAAGCAGAGCGACGCTGAGAAACTCGAAGGTCTTCCGGTCACGCCGTTCATGGACCGCGACAAAGTGACCAAACCGTCGTCCCAGGTTAGCTTCATCGGCCTAGTTCTCCTCCCTCTCTTCGAAGCTCTCGGCGAACTTCTACCCGAGTTACAGGTATATTTATTTATTTATTTATTCATTTACAGGATTAGTGTTCTTTGATATACATAATGAAGAACGGAAATCATTTACAGAGATATATTTTAAAATTAATTAGTAGTTAAATAATACATACAATGTGATATGGTTGCGTTTAGATAGTTTAAAACGTGAGAACATGTGTCAATGTCTGAAAACGCTGTTTGAATTTGAAATGAAATCATCAGCAACGAGTCACCGCATGTGAGTGTCGCGGATTAATTCGAGCGAAACCCTATTTTGCAGGATCTCATAGTTCAACCGGTCAGAGAAGCTCTGGAGTACTACCGTAGACTCAACGAGGCGGCCAAGGACGAGCGTCACCACCGGAAGAGCGTCGTGGACGTCGGCGAGTCGGCTCTATCTACCATGCAGGGCGGCACCGTCGGCTCAACCGCCGTCATCAAATCTATGTCGTCGCACAGCATGCGCTCGAAGAGATCCGCCGGGACGATTCACTCGCGCTCGCGTTCCACCGACGAGGACATCACGGAGAACCTGACGATGGAGGAAGGCGACAACGTCGAGAGTTCTGACCCGGAGACCGCCACGGAGGTGGAGATCAGCGAGAAGACGCTGAAGTTCAAGATCTCCACGGAAGGTACGCTAGCAGGGCCAACCAGCGGCCGGAAGAGTTACCCGGGCAGTCGGAAGGGCAGTCGGGAGAAGTCTTCCTTGGATTATCACAACCACGATTTAGCCAAGGCCGTTCGTGATCATGAGCGCGAAAGGAGGCGCAGCAAGGGCGAGAACCTCGGCAGCGACTTGAGCTCGCCGGTCAGCGCGAGGTCGGCCGAGGGCACACGGATCCTCGAGGAGATAGAGAAAGAGGAGAAGACTTTTTTAGACGTTAAGACGGAAGGCAGAGTGCCCGAGGGAAACGGCAATGTCATTGCAGTGGAGACGCATTCGCAACCGCGGAACAATCTCAGGAAAACGAGCAGCGTCATCGAGAATGATCAAGAGAACAGATCCAGCCGCAGGGACGCGCACAGCAGCCGCGAGTCGGTCGGTGTGCGATGCTGTTGCGACGACAAGACCGGGCCGAACAATCACAAGTCATTGTTCTCGCGGCTGAGGAACTTCACGGATCGCTTGAGCATCAGCTTCGACTCCAAGGACTCGCCGAGTCCGAAGCCGAAACACGCGTCAAAGATGCTCAACAAGAGTAACTCGGTGAGCAGCGGCTCGGCCACGACCACCTCATCGAGACACCACAATTCGTTGTTTATCTGCAAACGCTGCCACCTCACCAAGTCTACGGTAAAGGACGGTAACAAGGCGGCGATTGCGACCGTGGTGGAACTCTCATCGGTAGACAAACGGGCGATGACGTTGCCGAAGGTGCGCAAGTCCACAGACTGCAAGAACAGGAGCTGGCGAACGGTGTTCGCTAAGGAGAAGAGATCCTCCACTTCCTTGGAGGCTCTGCCGGCGGCTGGTTCCGACGGCTCGTACTCCAAGCACCGCAGAAATCTGTCAAATCCTGAGGGCAAGTCGCAGAGCATGAAGGAAGTCAAGTCGCGACGATGTCTGGACATTGAGTTCCAAGAGATCAACGTACGCCCCAAGCCTGAGATTATAGTCAATCCCGATGACAGTTGTTGCGACATCGAGGAGGATCTCGGCAAGGTGGAGATCCGCCGCAGCTCCGCTAGCATGGAGGACATCTCCAAGATGGCGAAGCAGGCGGAGGCGATTATGAAGGCGGAGGAACGTCCTCATACCGGCAGTCTGGATTCGATGCTCTGCAAAGACGTCTGCAAGTCGCGCAAAAAGCCCATCTTCTGTTCCCCGGGTTCAACGAAGAAATCGTCGCCCGGCCTGTTCTCGCGGTTCAAGTCTGGTATGAGCATCGACAGCACTCGCAGCAATAGCAACAGCGACTCTCTGCACGACCACGGTTCGCAGAGCGGCTGGATATCCTCGCTGACGGCCAGCTTCCGGCCAAAGAGGCATCCGAACGAGGCGCACCCGTTCTCACCGCATCCACCGAAGTCGCCCAGCAGAGAGGAGATCAAGTGATACGTCCTTGTGGTCGAGGATTCCTCCGAGAAGAAGTTAGGCCTCCGCGGGTGGTGGCCCGACAACTTGTTCTGCTGCAATAGCTAAGACTCGAGCAGACGGTTCGATCGCTGAGAAAGGGAGAGAGCGTTAATTTAGACCCGGAAACATCCGGGAGTATCGTTATCGCGTTATTTCACAAAAAAAGGAAGAAAAAAGCTGAACTAAAAAAATTAGTTTTCCAAAAAAGAAGGTAAACATTCCGCGAACGAGACGTTTAATCTTCCATTAATTAGCGATATCGAATCACTGTTCGACGACTGCGACGAACATATCGAGAATATCCGATAGCGTGTATTTCGCGAGAGGGAAATGTATGATAGAAGTCGATCGTGTGACATACGAGAGAATGAAATCTTTCCCTTATAATTAAAGGCAGTCAATTCGATGGAACGTATTTGCTCGAGCAAGCCAATTATCGAGAGGACGTTTAGGTATTTAATATGTGATTTCCGTTGATCGAATTCTTCTCTTCCGGAGGGATCCTCATAGGACCATGATTTCCCGTCGTCGACTTCGAGTGTTTTGCGTTCGAAGTGGCAGGATCGAGATCGCGCGTTGATTTGCGAAAGACACACTCACGGCCTGTGCGGAGAGAACATGTGGACGCGCACGGTGTATACATAGACTATTTTATTTATTGTCCATTTGAAAAATAGCCTAACGAGAGAGTTAATCATTAATGTTGTTCGTTATTATATACATATATAAATATATGCAAGTGCGGATGTGTATACAGAGACGTAAGCACACACACACACAAATACACACATCTCCATATATACATGCATATATGTATATATATGTATATATGTATGTATATATATATGTATATATATGTATATGTATACGTATATTTATATATATACATATACAGAGAAAAAATCTATAGTGTATAGATACGAGCGAATGAATATGTAGTTGTAAGTAGGCAAGGAAAAAGAAGGAGAAGACACACGCGAGTAGATACGTAAGCGTGGCTCTGTCGTATCGATGTGCGATAAAGTTTCAGGGATCGCGTAACCGCTAAGGGTGTGTGAGGTAAAGGAGTGCAGTCGCGCTATTTTTAGAATTTTCTGAGAATAATCCCGTTCCCTCAGACAATATTCTCAGAACATCCTAGAAATAGAAATCAGTGTTCTCCGGGAGTGTGCGTGGGTAATCTTCCGAGATGCTCGTCCGTGGCCCCTGCGAGGATCCCTCGAGCATTCCCGGATTTATTTTTCACACTCGGCGACTACTCTCATCTCTCACAGCATTAGTAGGTGCCACGGCGAAAAGAGAAAATAAGGGAGATTCGTCGGAATAATCGTGCTTCATTACTGGCACCGTCCGTCGGGGAGGGCGATTCACGCGGTAGTAAATCTCGTCGATTCATCGACTGTTCGGAGAACGCTGGGAAAATTGCTTCGTGGATTATCCTTTGTTTACGCCACTAAAGCGCAATCCAACTCGGAAAACGAGATTTGCGACGGGCGTTTAAACGGTGAATTAAAAACTTGACTCTCTGCCGCCGTTGCTAGACCGGGCTGACTCGATAAGACAGGCGTCATGTTCCACTGGAAGCTGACGACGTGCGGCCGTGTCGATTAGCGCTAATTGTGTGACACGATCAATTATCCTCACCTGTTTATACATGTGTAAGCTATTACGATTTTGAAGGTGACGGAGAGTTTTTAACGTTGAATCAATCGTGTCTGTAGTTATACAGGCAGGACTAAATGGGAAGTTTCGAAAAATTCGAAAAAATTCGCTCGAAGGAATTGGCGAGTCTTCTGCGAGACGCTCTCAGCGTGTCTCCGAACGCCAAATTACAAAAGAGAATACAATTTTGAGGAAAGAGAAGGAACACGTAGCCTAACGGTTCCTCTCTCGGCCGACTGTCTCTCTTGCGATTATTATTTCGTTTGAAAGTTCAGGCGTGCGTAACTCTTGAGAGATTCTCGCGTGTGCGTGCGCGCACACACTCACACACACACACACACATACACAGACACAGACACACGCATAAGTACACGCGCAAAACGCGATTACTTCTGTACGACGTCCCGCTTTTCATTTTTAGATGTTTATATTTTTATACTCCGTCAACCGCGTCTCTGTACGGCGATTAAAAACCGCATGTATTGTTGAACTCTAGTCTTACGTTATTGTCTTCAGCCCCGGGGCGGCACGCTCTCGGGAGCATTTCATTTTGTGCAACGGTCTTCGCGCGAGCGAGCGATTCTGCGTCAAATACTTGACTGATTATTTGACCAATTTCCGTACAATTACTTCTACCTATCTATCTCTTTCTCTCCTTATCGTGCCGTAGAATCAGGACTCGCCGATGAAACTCCACGTGGATCCAGAAAACATATCCGAGAAGAACGAAAATTCGCATTAGAGAGAGTCTCTGTGTAAAATGAGTAACTTCAACTCTTTGGAAAATAACAAAAAAAAAACACATCGGACACTTTTCATTCGACGAGTCCTACTGTTGGAACGCGAAGAAGGGATAACTGTACCAAACAGCGAGCCACTTGTGATCCTTCCTCGAAATTAAGAATCAGATTGGCACGCTCGTCCTCTTAGACGATAGAGAAAATCATTTGTCGCAAGTAGCAGAGGACAGATATCGAGAATAAAAAGGATGAGAAAGGAAACGAGACGAGACGAGTAGGAAGAAGCGACGATGTCTCGTTTGCGAGGGAGAGAGTCTACTGCGCCGGTTTACGTAACGACGCACATTCTAGTAATAAATAATCAAATTCTCCGCGATGTGAACGAAAGAAGGCATTTGATTTTGACTCTTGAGACTCACGAGACGTTGAATAATCGCGAGGCAAGAGACTGTCATACCTGAGGATTTCGATCTTGATGGGATGCCGCGCTGCGAAACGAATGTCGGGAATATTGAGTCGTCCTGCGAATAATCAGATAACACTTTGAAAACTCTCCCGATGCGTCTTGTAAGGAACATTAGAGCATACGTTGCAAAGCATATCCGATAAAATGTTAATAAGGGAGTCGTCAGATTGCGACACTTTTCTTTACTGAATCACATAGACTTTAAGCTCGAGCGGAGTAGCCAGGCGTTTGTAAAAAAGAAAGAAAACGAAGAAAAAGACTCGTAACGTGACCAAAGCAAGTAATTCCTAAGACGTTTCTACTTCACATCGTAGAGGAAATCAGATGCACTTTTTTCCTTCCATATCGCTCACTCTCTGTGCCTGATCGTCATCGATGTTCAAGACTGATATTGGAGAAACGTATTCAATCCTAAATAGTCTATTGCTTTGGAAATCTTTCAGCCGCAGGACCAAAACACGGCGAAACGCATATTACAGATTTGTCGGTTCCGATCGTTTTTCGACATGTGTTCCACGTACAGTAGAGTATAATTATTTGAGACACGTGTAATTGCGAATCAAACCAAAGTGTTTACAAACGCTGGAAGTACCGAATTATTACAGTCGTTGCATTTACCTTGATTTATTGACACGTGTTATACGAGTCGACGAGTGTGTTTGTTGCATAAGTATTTAAAGGTAGTTTTTCGTTGCGAAACCTTTGATACCGAGATCTTAAATTTGGACTCAACGACAGCGAATCAACACGCTCGGATACTTTTCTCCAAAACTAGTCACACTTGTTTGCGATTTCTTACCTATTAAATCGACTGTTTATCAAAATCTCAATCAAACGGCGATCAATTTTCCACGGTCTTGAAGCGAGAACGAGTTTCGGGAGATTCGGGTTCATTCCACGAAAGCGTAGAATGAAATATGACTCGCAAGATCGTTGAAATGCCGATCCCAACTTCTTCGCGATATATACGAGGGACACGTAATAACGAAACTAAATAAATAGATAAAATAAAAATTGACACAATGGGCCAATCAAGCCGTGGTACGCGGCGTCATTTTACTCGTCAATTGAATTTTTAGTCCCATTAGGAGTTTTCTCGTATTCCAGAGTTGTTGCCGTCAATTATCAAGATTATAAAATACACTCACACAAGCTCGTACATGATACACACACATACACACATACACATACATAGTTCCAATTTCGTCTCTCGCGTTAACATCGAAGAGAAGCAATCGGTGTTTGCTCGGTTTTACTTATTAACGTCGCTACTACAATTCGAAATTATTGTCCAAAGCAATTTGCCATTTTAATAACGTCCTCAAACGTCCTTAATAATGCCGTAATTGAAACGAGCGGCTTGTGTATCGCGGCGCAATCTCGAATTCCAATAAACTTTGTCGAAACTTTTCGACGCGCATTCTTCGTCAGTTCAAACAAATTAAATCACGCGGACGTGATTTCGCGTTCACAAGGTCCGTTCTCAGTCTTTCGCCGTCCCTTTCTCACTACTCTTTATATTAAGTCGTCAGGTTAAAAGAGAAAATTGATCCTGATCGTTCCACTGATATCTCTTTTCCTTCTTTTCTTCCCCCGTCTCTCTCTCTCTCTCTCTCTTTTTCTCTCTCTCTCCCTCTCTCTCTTCCCCTTTTCTCTCTCTACTCTTTTTCATCGTTAGATGAATATTAATTAATTGAAATTTATGCATACCACGTAAATTGAATGCACACGATAACCTGATCCTCTCGTATATACGTACAGATATATATATATATATATATATATATATATATATATATATATATATATATATATATATGTATGTATATATATGTGTGTGTATATATATATACCTATATATACATATAAATGAACAAAAGTAATTATATAAATAATTAAATATTATATATTTACCTGGACACATGTGAGGAGTTGAGGAGAAGAACAAAAGTACTGTTAATGCTCGCGGGCGAGTTACTAGCGCGATATTATATTATTATCATCGATATTACGATATTATGATATGATTGTAAGAACGAATTGTGTATAGTTACGTGTGTAAGAGAGTGTCCGTGGAAGTACATGGCGTTGCGGTGCGTTTGAATCGTTCAGTGTTCGGTGACGGCGGCGTATTTATTTCTCTTCGTACTCGTCGTCGTCGTCGTCATCGTTGTCGTATGAAATAAACAGCGATTGTCCCACGATTGACCATATTCGCGGCGCAAAACTATTGCGAAAAACATTCCGGACTCAATCAGTATAATTCTCGCTAATCAACTCCGTGACAAGGAAAACGATCCAATTTAATGTCGTCGCAAAAAATCGTGAACTTCTTAGCGACAATTAATAATCGTTTTTGTCGTTGTGTTACGTAAAATGTTGTCCTGTTAATGAGACGATTCGTATAGTTGAAACCCCTACAAGTTTTCCCATGTCTCGTCATTTATTTTAAACGCTCTCAGGACATTTCAGGGAAGAGCACAAGTAAGTGTTTACGTTGTAATCAGTATCCGTCGTAATAGCACCTGCAATACATTATCCGGTCGTAAGCATGTTACATTGAAAATAAAAAACATGCGTCGATTCTTCTTTTCTGGCCTATTAAAGTTGTTTACTTTTACATGTTACCGAGATCTCTCGTCGAGTATCGCGTGAACACGCAAGTGACACGGCGTTTTATAATATGAGATCGAAGGAAATTTATCATAAAGAACAGAGATGTAGGAGAGACGATCATTGTCGCGCGACGTACACGTATACGAGCGCTTGTTTATATATATATATATATATATATATATATATATATACATATATATATATCCCGCGTCGCACACAAATCATCGCAATCTCTTGTCAGAAATCCGCAATGCAGAGTTCGCCGTCGCCGAACGAGATGCGCGCGAGGAAGAATACGTGGGATATATAGTATCTATCATTCCATTCGATTCCAAGGTGTCGTAGTAATATATTATAGAAGCGTAATTCTAAGTGACCCTCCCTCCTGGTCCCCCTCCACGTTCCACCCCTACGTGGGTCGATCGCCCGGCGAGTAGCTCGCCCGCGCGGTCGATCGTTAGTCTTTTTTGTAAATGAGAATAAGCGAATGAAAATAAATATATACATATATATGTATATATATATACATATATATATATATATATACATATATATATATATATACATATATATATATATATATATATATATATATATATATATATATATATATATATATATATATATATATATATATATATATATATATATATATATATAT